AATTATCAGGTGAGGCTAAAACAGTAGTATCCCATCTGAGATTAACTAATGACGGCTATGATCTGGCAGTAAAACTCCTCAAGGATAATTATGCTGATCCAGAAGTAAGAACATCACATTTAGTTCATGAGCTGTTGCATTTACCCCCACCGGAGGCTTCAGCTGATTCACTCCAAGTCTTCAAGCTGGAGGTAGAATCATTGATCAATGCCCTCAGCCTGACAGCAGATACAAACGGGGCTGAGTGGGTCTTGAAAATAATTGTCCAGGAGAAAATACCTAGGGACATATTGAGACAAATGAGTGCTCATTACAATAAAAGCATCTTATCTATGAATGAAATATCTGAAGGTTTAAAGTCAGTAGTTCATCAATTACGAACACATGACAAATTAAAACCACCAAGTAAACCCTCAGAAACCAATAATAGTAAACCACAGAGTACCAAAGGTACTCCAAATCAATCTAGACAATATAATTCAACACCAAAGTGGAACAGTAGCAGTGTGGGCGTATATGCAGTGGGACCCTCCAAGCCTATAGTTACTGTGTCACCCAAGAACGTGACACCAAAGGGTACTGGAAGCTATGGAACATGTTTGTTCTGCAATGAGAAACATTCAATGTACCACTGCTCTAATTATCCTGATAGTGACGCCCGTGTTGAGCGACTCAAAGATTTGCAACATTGCACGAGGTGCCTCAGGAAACATAACATCAACGACTGTGATACCCAATTACACACCTGTAATAGGTGTAACAAAGGTCAGCACCATGCAGCATTGTGCAGAGACACCAAAACAACGTCTCCAAACCCCAAGGTGGAAGATAGCATTCCCACCACAGTACAGTACTGCAAGGTGCAACAAACAAAGAGTGTCCAATCGGCAAAGTCTAAAGGTAATACGACTTTGCCTACTGCCCAAATTACCATCCTGAATAAGAGGGCCAAGGTCCATACCCGTGGGTTGTTTGACCAAGGATCCCAGAGAACATATATCACTAAAAAGTTGGCAGATGAATTACAATTAAGGCCTGTAGCCCAGATGTCATTCAACATCTCAGGGTTTGTAACAGATGCAGGACCTCAAGTCTACCAGGTGGTACAACCATCAGTACGTTTAGGCAGGTACGTCTGTCGAGTACAAGCCATTGTGGTGGACAAAATACCAGTAGACCTACAAGTTCAAGGTCTGAGAGCAACAGCCAAATTCCTGAGAAATAGAGGAATAAAATTGGCAGATAATATTAAGTCTGATCACCTCACCGACTTCGGTCTCCTTGTAGGGACAGACTATTGTCATCGATTCATCGGTAGCCCTACTAAATATCAGGGTATAACCATGTTAAACTCTGCAGGAGGTAAATTACTCTCAGGCCCAGTATCAAGCCTGAGGAGACCTATGCCTGCAGATAAACAATACCAATAGAAATCTAAATTTGTCAGCTGATTATATTTCTCCAGTAGCATTATACTAAGGAGATTACAGCTGACTATACCAACAGAGGTTGATGTTAGTATCATCATTTAAAGCTGAAGATGAGTTCATGAGGCCTCAGTGGCAAATCAGTGAACAGTAGCCTAAAACAGCTACAAGTCACTGCGACCAATGTCACTGAACCCACTGCAGTCTCAGAACCATACTTTACTTTAATGATGAGCTATTCAATCTTCTGAATCAATTAACTAAATTAAACCCCAATAAATCTGATGACTGATTTGATACATTTATTATTTAATCAAGATGTATTCCATGGGCCTCAGTGTTTATATATCAGTGACCAGTTACCTGAAGAAACTTCAAGTTATATCTAATGTCACTGATCTCACTGCAGTCCCTGAATCATACTTGACTGTAGTACTTGATCACATTCAGTCTTCTGGGTTAAATAATAAGTAATAAGGCTTGAATATTAGCCTTTCAAGAGTTGACAGGGAAATGAAATCGCATTAGACTTCTAACCCCTGCAACTCTAGTACGGGACATCCGTCCTGTACGAACAGACGCACAAATGTGTGATTACTAACTACTAACATCAAATTAATGTAATAATTCGAAGGAGGAGTATCGGTGTTCGTCTGTTCTAATTAGGACTTCGACCCGTGAGCAGCCCCTGGGGAATTATGTCGGAAAATCCGACACCATTTAATAATCATACAGATAATAGCTGTATTATAAACAAGTTACCCATAGAAAACGTAACTTGTAGTGGAATTACCGTCTATAGAAAACGGGATATCATCACCACATACTATTATAATTCACCAGCTATTCTGCTGGGAATTGTTCTTAAATACATTAGTCTTTGGACTTTACCATCATAAAAACATCTTATATAAATTAACTTAATTATCAATATTAAAGTAGAGTAAATGTGACCCTTCTATCACTTTCTGACATGTGGACAATGTAAGCCAGGCGTCAGAGTGAGGAAGGAGGGCAGCCATTGTTTATACGAGACCAGAGGCTCACACGGGAGCAAATTCGGCTCCTGTTAAATTTACTTGGACGTAGTGTTATGGAAACTAAAAGTGTACCATTATCAACACGCTGTCTACAAATTCAAGTTAAGTGTCTATCCGAAACCCGTTTATCATTCATTTATGGCCATTAATGTCAGGATATAGGGTGAGCCGGTTAGATCACGAAATCGCCTCAAACTAAAGGTAATTAAGCCAGGTCTTTATTGTTCCATGTACAGTGTTTTCTCTGATATAGCTTGTCATATATAGGATTCTGGCTTCACAGCTAGCGCACTTTTGACAGGTCAAGACGAGGAAGCAAGATTTGTGCACCAGTTACTGGGTGATATGGAAGCTACCTCAAAGAGGATAATTTGGTGTCTACACCCTAGTTATACCTGGTGGACTAACCTGCTGTACTATAAGATAAGGAACCTCTTCAATGTATGTAGTCTATTCCTGTAGTTTGATTGGCTGCATATATATTAATTTAATAACCCCCCTAATGTGTAGAGGATCGATTTGTGAGATTATGAGATTATTGCAGAAATACAGTCCACTTATCATTATACAAATTGCTATCGAAGTATATAAATTAACGTAAATATAAATTCATATAAATTAAATAAATATAAATCTCACAGGTCGGTTCCCACAGCACTCCTCTTCCCGGTAGCTACCGGGAAAATAGCGGCTTGAAAGTTGAAGGATGAGGTGGTCGCTAATTGGTTGGTTGGAGCTGAAGTGTTTGTGCTGTTGTTAGCTGCAGTGGAAGATTTGATTTACCTCCAGGTTCTTGATACCTTGTTGTCTGCGGGTACATCGATGGGAGATTGAAGGATGATCGTCGTTGCAGAGCAGGTAGTGTGGTGTTTCCGCCGTTCAGATAGAATGGTGGTGGTCCTCTGTGCAGATGTTGCACTTTTGGAAGGGCTGTTGACGCTTGCTGGTGTGGTCGAAGTATTCGTAGCACCGGAGTGATTTTGTAGAATCTTCCCATCTTCACTTGGTATGATGGGATGTGGGTGCCGAAGCAGTAGAAACCATTTGTGGTAGCCAGGATAGCTGCAGCTACGGAGTTGAAGGTATCTTCATGGTGCGATTATTGTTGCAGAACAGAGCCTAATTGGTATACTTACAAGCCCGGGTTTGCTTTCCCGATGTGGTCCGAAATTGTTGGTGTTTCTCTGTCCCGTTTCAGGATCCACTTGATAAGCTCACTGACAGACAGATCGTGCAGCGAGATACTGAAGTGAAAAGTGGAAAACTAGGTTCTGCGAAGCATTCGTAATGCACTAGTTTGTCGAGGTTTTCCTCGCTCACGAAGTAGAAGTCGAAGTCCCTGCCTTCCTGGCCGATGTCGTTAGGTGTTACGTCAGCGACTTCTTTAAGAAGCTTCAGTTAGGTCGATCTTGGAGAACGAATGCTCGGTCGAGGGGCGTACCCAGGACCTTGTGACGTTTGTGACGCATGGTAGGCAGGTCTCAGTGGCGATGGGCAGACAGCTCGACCAGGACAATCAGCTAGCTTACACGGGGGAGTGTTGGTGGAAGATGCCCTCTCAATATTGGTGCGGCCGGCTGGTTCGCTCCTCACATCACTGAAGAAGGCCTTCCATCTCTTCTTGGTAGAGGAAACCGGGTTGGGTGTGGGGCTGATCGTCTAGAGTGAAGCGCTGCAAGTTTTCTATGTTTTCGTGATCTGTGATCGTGATCTGATCTGATCGTTTTCCTGTGATCTGTGTGATGTGATCTTTTAATACAGTTATAAAAATATTGAGTCTTTCCCTCACCTTCATCCAGGCACTACGGAATTGTGGTAAGTTTCTCCGTAACATAAATTATTATACCAGGGAACATAAATGATAACTTATATTTTCTGGTGCCGAGTGAGCTATGATAATTTATGTTTTCTCGTGTGCAGTGTGAGTTATGATCATTTATATCTCTCGTCCATATTGAAGTATGATCATTTTTGTTATATCTGGTGCAGAGTGAGGTATGATAATTTGTGTTATATCTGATGCAGAGTGAGGTATGATAATTTGTGTTATATCTGGTGCAGTGTGAGGTGCGATAATTTATGTTATATCGGGTGCAGAGTGAGGTATGATAATTTGTGTTATATCTGGTGCAGTGTGAGGTGCGATAATTTATGTTATATCGGGTGCAGAGTGAGGTATGATAATTTGTGTTATATCTGGTGCAGTGTGAGGTGCGATAATTTATGTCATATCGGGTGCAGAGTGAGGTATGATAATTTATGTTAGCTCAGGAGTAGAGGGAAAGGAATTATAAGGAGAAAGCGCCAAGCCATTTCGACTATAGCACTGGGAAGGGATTTGGATGGGACGGGGAAAGGAATGGTTACCAACCACGACGGTCGGGGATTGAACGCCGACCTGCATGAAGTGAGACCGTCGCTCTTCCGTCCAGCCCAAGTGTTTGGGCACTTTACTCAGGAGTAGTGAGTTATGATAATCTAGAAAAAATAATCTGATATTAAATGATAATCTATCCTGCTATCTCCGTTATAGAGTGAAGTATAAGGAGGACCAGTGGGCCACAATGACCTTCGGCGTGTACCAGAACCTGTTCAGCGTCGAGCCCTTGTGGGAGCTGGTCAACTCCAGCGTCCTCCTCCTTGACAACCGCGAGGTTTACTGCACCATTAAAGAGGTCAGTTAGTGTCCTTCTTCCGCTATTAGTTCCAACAATGGCGGCATCAGTGCCTGACTCTAAGATGGAGACGATTTTTTCAACTTTGTTGTCTGTCCTCATATCCCTGTTCATTTTCTCATATTGCATCTCAAAATCTGTTTTATTATCACGGACCATAGTCTCTCATATATCCCTTTCAAATTGCTATATAATCCTTCTGGCTTAGCACACAATTACCTAATTACCTAACTAATACACACATAACATATAATACAGCTAATACAGCACTATACAGCAGCGCTGTATAGTGCTATACAGTGCTAATACAGTACACTATACAGCGTTATACACTATACAGCGCTAATACAGCAGCACTAACAACTAATACAGCACATAATTACCTAACTTTAGTTGTTATGGTTGCTGTCATATAGCGAAAGGAACTGAAGTTTATCAAGTTCTAGAACTGTTTTTTTTTTTAAATTCTATTACATGACAAATATAGTTTGATAATTTTTTTAAGTTGTCGCTTAAAGTATTTAATTTCTTTCGTGATATTCTGACCCGTGATATGGTGTTCCGTTATATTCTGGACCATGATATAGTGTTCCGTTATATTCTGATCTGTGATATAGTGTTCCGTTATATTCTAATCCATGATATGGTGTTCCGTGATATTCTGGACCTAGATTCACGAAGTTCCATGTATTTCTTCGTAAGTAAGTGTGCTACGAAGGTCCTTAAGTATTGCCTGAGAACGTTCCTACATCCGATTCAGAAAGATATACTTACGAAGATTTTAGCAACCTCACTTAAGTTTCGCTAGATGTCACTAGGGTTTTTCGTTTGGCCAATCAGAGAGAAGGTAGCATTTTTCTTCTAACAGCTGTAGCCAATCACGATGCTGGCATATCGGATCTTATCTGTGTAAACTTGCCACCTATTTACGTCGAATTTTCTTATTAAATTAGTATATTTTGAAGTAAAACTATGTTTTTTCAACTTCTGCAGCCAGCACCGACATTGCAGTAAATAAAATTGTTACATTTTTTGTTTACCTACGTAATTCTAAGAGATGCAACATGTGAGATGCAGATGTGAGTGACACGGGTCACTCACTGTGGGAGTGACCTGTGTCACTCACAGGTGCATTATCTGTTAAAAAACTAGGTTTATTGTTACACACAATGCTACTACATAGCCTTCCTGGCTTAGTGCCTGCTTTTGATAATTACTTATTGTTACACACAGCCAAATTGTGTAACAGGAAGAGGTCTTAGACACAAATTTGTTCCATGCTAAATGTAGAGGAATCAGCTGAGCATTCATCAAATAAAATAAGCTGCCTCAGCTTATAGGGTAAATAATAAAATAAGCATTCCTCAAATAAGTAGCTGCCTCACCTCACTGCCTTACTGCTACATAGCCTTCCCGGCTTTGTGCCTTCTTTTGATAATTACTTATTCATTGTTACACACAGCCAAATTGTGTTACAGGAAGAGGTCTTGGACCCCTGCTTCTCCCTAAATTTTTAACAGGCCATAATAGTCCATTTAGTCATAATTATAGGCCTGAGTATTCAATGACAAAAGTTTTTTAATTTTTTACCCTTACCCTTACCTAACATCATTTGTGCAGCATGTTTTTTATGTCTCACCCAGATTTAATTTCAAAATAAAACCAACCAAAATATATTAAAAATGGGTATGTATAGCTAAGATACACCCCCTAGCTATGCTTATTGCTCGGTGAACAGGGGCACTTGGTGATAGTAAATGCTCCCACCACCCCGGGATCATCACCTTCTCTCATACTTCATGGTCACCAGTGCTTATTTACTTAATAAATATAGATGTATAATAATAATATACTGGAATAATATAGATATGTATAATATCTATATAATACACAATATCTATATAATATACAATATCTATATAATATACAATATATAATATGCATATAGCTAACACGAAGGATTCCTTGATGAGACTCGCCAACAAAAATGATTCTTTATAATAAAATCAATCCCATGTGTTGTGTAGTAGAGAAAAAATGAGTTGTATCCAGTTTATGTAAAGCTACGAGTGGTCGAAAGCGACCTTTGCATGACGGTGTGTACTTAGGAAAATTTTCATACTTTAAGTGCCTACCTGAATACCGACGTAGCCGCTACAAAGATGCTAAGAAGGAAAACGTTCGTAAGTACGTATGTAACTGCTTCGTGAATCTGGCCACTGACCTCTGATATGGCGCGGAAAATATCCACATAATAACGTTGAAAATAAACTATTTGGAGTTTGCCCAAGTGTCAACTCTCGCTTCTGGGCATCTCAGGGCGTTACCCTGATGAGCTCAAGCATTCCCCGACCAGCGACCCATTTACGGTGGTAATAAGGCGTTTTGTTTCATCCAATATTTGTTACAGCTTATCACATGTAACTTAGCTTGTGATAAGCTGTAACAGGTAATAAGCTATAGTGCTAAGGTATTTACTAAAATTAATAAACATAATTACTTATTGTTACACACAGCCAAATAGGGTTATCTATGGGGAGTCTTTACCCCAACATAAGTAAGTGGATATAATTATAGACATTATTTACGTGTCATAATGTTGATATAAATTAATTGTTAAAAATTTATTGTCAGTAAATTAACGTTGCAATCAGAGAATTACATTAAATTCAATTAACAATCGAACAATTAAATTCAATTAACAATTAACAACTACTACGTCAATTAACAACTACTAGTTGATCCACTTGGGCCGGAGGGTAGAGTAACGGTCTTACTTCATGCAGGTCGGCGTTCAATCCCCGACCGTCTAAGTGGTTGGGCACCATTCCTTTCCCCCCGTCCCATCCCAAATCTTTATCCTCATCCCTTGCAAGTACTATATAGTCGTAGTGGCACAGCGCTCTCTCTCTTGAGAGAGAGACCTTACCTTTATGTGGGTCACTTGCAGAGCAAAGATCAGTGCCTCGCTACCCATGATATAATTTTATCTTCATAAATGTAAATATGAGGCTTCTTGACAGCTATCCAAGAGCAGTGGCAGGATCCCTGAAATAACTTGACCGTTGCCCGAAGCACTATGCGTACTAGTGGCTTTAGGTATTGTATGTACTACCTCTCTCTTTAAATCTAACAGGATGTTTGTACTGTAACCCTGCAACTATGTATGTACTTTTTCTAAATAAATTATTATTATTATTATTATTATTATTATTATTATTATTATTATTATTATTATAACCTCTTCCCTAACAGTGGGTCGTGAGACAGAATCCACACTCTCATACCCAGCTATATACACTCGGGTTGTTTATTTTGTGTTCAATGTAAGTAGCAGTAGATCACTTAGAGAATTTCCTCAGTCTCTTGTACAAATTCCTTGATTTAATTCTGCAGATTTGTTTTCGACTAGTTCGTACTCAGTCAGTATTTCACTTGAGTCATTTGAATTTATATTTTGTGTTAAGAATTAGAATGGGGAAGAGAGTTGAGAACAAAAAATCCCACATATTGTGTTTCGTGATATTCTGACCCCTAATGTGGCGTTCCGTGATATTCTGACCCCTAATGTGGCGTTCCGTGATATTCTGACCCCTAATGTGGCGTTCCGTGATAATCTGACCTATAATGTGGCGTTCCGTGATATTCTGACCCCTAATGTGGCGTTCCGTGATATTCTGACCTATAATGTGGCGTTCCGTGATATTCTGACCCCTAATGTGGCGTTCCGTGATATTCTGACCTATAATGTGGCGTTCCGTGATATTCTGACCCCTAATGGGGCGTTCCGTGATATTCTGCCCTCTGGTATAGTGTTCCGTGATAATCTGACGCCTGATATGATGTTTCGTGATATTGTGACCCCTAATATGGTGTTCCGTGATATTTTGACCCATAATGTGGTGTTCCGTGATATGCCGACCCCTGATATAGTGCTCCGTGATATTGTGACCCCTGATATGGTGTTCTGTGATATTGTGACCCCTGATATGGTATTCTGTGATATTGTGACCCCTGATATGGTGTTCTGTGATATTGTGACCCCTGATATGGTGTTCTGTGATATTGTGACCCCTTATATGGTGTTCTGTAATATTGTGACCCCCTAATGTGGTGTTCCGTGATGACAGAGCTCACAGCGATGTGAGGAGATGGTGTTGTTCTGCTTATGGCGAGGGACGATAGACTGCGCCGGCCTCTTCACCCAGGTCTCCACCAGGAACGGCTTCTGCTGCGTCATTAACGTGGCCAACAGGTAATTAGTTCACCTGAGATAAATCAGCTCACTCAGCCACCACACACACACACACACACACACACACACACACACACACACACACACACACACACACACACACACACACACACACACACACACACACACACACAGGAGCCTCGTAGCCTGGTGGATAGCGCGCAGGATTCGTAATTCTGTGGCGCGGGTTCGATTCCCGCACGAGGCAGAAACAAAATGGGCAAAAGTTTCTTTCACCCTGAATGCCCCTGTTACCTAGCAGTAAATAGGTACTTGGGAGTTAGTCAGCTGTCACGGGCTGCATCCTGGGGTGTGTGTGTGTGTGTGTGTGTGGTGTGAGAGAGAGAGAAAAAAAAAAAAAAAAAAAAAAAAAAAAAAAAGTTAGTAGTTAGTAAACAGTTGATTGACAGTTGAGAGGCGGGCCGAAAGAGCAAAGCTCAACCCCCGCAAAAAACACAACTAGTAAACACACACACACACACACACACACACACACACACACACACACACACACACACGCGTGGAGGCTGACTCCATCCACAGTTTCAAGTGCAGATATGATAGAGCCCAATAGGCTCAGGAATCTGTACACCTGTTGATTGACGGTTGAGAGGCGGGACCAAAGAGCCAGAGCTCAACCCCCGCAATTAGAACTAGGTGAGTGTACACACACACACACACACACACACACACACACACACACACACACACACACACACACACACACACACACACACACACACCAAAGCGTTTATTTTCTCGTTGAAACGATGTGTTTATTACGTTGCTGGCGCGACGTTGTTTTCTTGCCGGTTTGATGGCACCTGTTTTTTTTTTAAGATTTGATCAATTACCTTGTCATTCTGCTTTGGAAACTGAAATGTTTGTATTGATAGTGAATGAAATGTTATTTCTTATTCCCAACGAAAGCACAACATGATGAATCGGGGTCGATCTCATGGTCCTAAACATGATTTAGCTGTTTCCTATGATTTTTGTAGTGCTTAATTCTTTCAAGTATTTGAATTCATCTGATGCGTTAATTAATACTAATGATGAATTCAAAATCAACATTCTTTCCATTTCCAATGTCAGTTTGACCAAGCCAAATATGACTGACCTGTGTCCGGGAGAGAGGCGAGTGAGGAACCACACAGACGGGACGAGGCTTCGAGACATCATACCAGACCTGAGCAGCGCCGGCATTAACCAGGGCCTGACCGTGCTCCTGGACGCCCAGGTTTACGAGTACACCTACAGCACCTACCATTCTGTGGGCTTCAAGGTCAGTGCCTTCCTCCTCCTGATTAGTTCTGGGGCCACGGCCGGTATAATGAGCTATATTTGGACTTTCAAGTTACAGTGTAACTTGAACTGTAGGGAGCCGGTCGGCCGAGCGGACAGCACGCTGGACTTGTGATCCTGTGGTCCCGGGTTCGATCCCGGGCGCCGGCGAGAAACAATGGGCAGAGTTTCTTTCACCCTATGCCCCTGTTACCTAGCAGTAAAATAGGTACCTGGGTGTTAGTCAGCTGTCACGGGCTGCTTCCTGGGGGTGGAGGCCTGGTCGAGGACCGGGCCGCGGGGACACTAAAAAAAGGCCCGAAATCATCTCAAGATAACCTCAAGATAACCTCAAGATAACCTCAATATAGGTCAGCGACAGATTATTCCCAAGATGCAACCCACAACAGGTGCCTAATTTCCGGGTGAACAGAAGCATGATGTGTGAGGTTCCCAAGGGCCAACGAGTGAACTTGTGCAAAATACAACACAGAAAACTAACCTAATTCCAAGACACTTATTTACTGTTAGGTGAACAGATACATCAGGCGAAAGGAAACGTGGCCCAATTGACTTTTCCTGCCCGAGAATCGAACCTAGGACCTTTCGGTTGCAAACCGACTTCGTTAACGGCTGGAGAATATCTGAAACATTAGGCGAAACTTGAAGGGGGTTGTGTGTGGGGCTTGTGTGTGGGGCTTGTGTGTGGGGCTTGTGTGTGTTCTCTTGTCTCTCAATGTTTGCTGTCTCCCCTTGTCACTAGCAATACTTTATTACAACTTCCTCACAATAATAAAAATAAAGGCTATTTTGAAGACACTACTAACGTCACCATCAATGAACTCTTAAGAACAATAGAGGAAACATTAGATGCTTCACATTTTTAAGACTCAATAAACATAAACAAAACAGCAACTCCTCCACCGCCTGCGTCAAATCCGTAATCAAAACCCAGATGCGATTCATCAGTGCTTCGTTAGAGATGGCATGATTAAAGTGAGAAAGACGTCTGAGGGTAAAATGTTTACAACTGCTAATGAGGATAACCTCAACACTTTCCTCTCTCAATGTGGTTTGTCTCACCTTATTATCCCTCTCAATGAGTCAACATAATTAACCCCCTTGTCACCTAGTGCGGGCTAGGTATCCTAAGTCTCTTTGTTACACTGTTTTTTAAATTAAATTTTAATTTCATTTTTATTAGTCATTTATTGGACTTAATTAATTGAGTGCATTAATATTTTCTTTAGTTCTTATTAATTTTAGGATCATAACTAAACTATTTATAGTTAATTATCATTAGATTAAACTTGCCTATGTTTATTATTCAACTTTTTCTTTGCTTTCATTATTACCTAGGTTGCCTAGCCTCGTCATGCTCCCTTACTCCATTGTACCCCTGAGAGTACTTGTAAGCAATCTACCTCATTTTTTTTGTTCATTTAGAGTTTGTGTTGAATAGTCTTCTTTATATTTATATTCCCCCCCCCCCTCCTTTTTATATCAAAAATTGTTTATTTTGTAATTGCCATTCTTGCCTTGTTTTCCTACAACCACCCTACTTATGTAAACAATGTATTAACACATAATCACAATATCTCTGTAATTAACTTGAATGTAAGATCTCTAAGCAAACACTTTGATGATGTTAGTGCCTTGATTGAAACTGTTGATAACACATTCTCTTTTATTATACTTACTGAAACGTGGTTAAAAGAGGATACTACTCAACTCTTTAACATCCCAAACTACTCAGCAATTCACAACTGTCGACCAATTCAGAGAGGTGGTGGTACTGTTCTTTACTACCACCATGAACTAACATGCTTAAAATTAATTAGAACTAGAGACTACTGTGAGGAGTATATTTTTGCCAGTTTCAGAGTCAAGTGTGCTGAGTCTGTCCTGACTGTGGGAGCAGTCTATAAAATTCCTAACACTGATTTGTCCGAATTCAACTCTATCCTTAGAAATCTAATACTAGATAACAGACTGAACAAAAACCATCTAATTATCGCAGGGGACTTTAATATTGACCTCTGCGAGCCTGAACACCCTACTGCTGCTAGTTTCCTCAACTGTATGAATTCCTGCTTCCTCATACCCTTAATCACTAGACTTACTGGAATCACTGATAGTACTGCCACGGCTCTTGACCACATCTGGACTAACATAACCTCTCTACTTACTTCAGGGATAATCATTGATAGGACCACAGACCATTACCCCTCATTTCTCCTAACCAACATTAATAAACCACCTCTTGATACAAGGAAGATAAGCTTTAGGCTGCGCAATGAAACTTCTATAAGCAACTTTATTGCTGCTGCTAATATCAACTGGGAGGCTGAATTAGGTGACACAGTGAATATCAACCTAACAGTGCAAACATTTCTTCACAAAACTCTGAACCTTTATAACTCCCACTGTCCAATGCTAACGAAACAAGTTACAAATAAAAGGTTAAGTACTCCAAAACGTACAAAGGGAATACTTAATCTATTAATAAAAAACATGACTTTGAAAAGAAGTATAGGTTAGGAGTCGTCTCCAAAGAATTTTCAAAGATTTACTCATCCATGCTCTCTAAAATAATTAGAAGAGCCAAAATAAAATACTACGAAAATAAATTTACACAAATTAAGGGCAACATTAAGAAAACATGGATCACTATCTCCCAAATATTAGATTAAAAAAATATTTATTCAGATAAATATGGTATTTAAATATGTGGACTTTGGATTGGAAACAGTATAGTCGACTACGGGCTCACCATAGCCCGTGCTACTTGGAACTTTTTGTTCAAGGTAGCGAATCTTTAACAACAACAACATAGTGTCAACAAGTCAGTTATAAACTCGCTCCTATGCCAGATATGTCTGCTACAGGTCACCATGGCCATGCTACTGAAATTTTTTTTGAGAATCTGTATCTTAAACAAGAGCAACAGTATATACAAGGTATGGGATGCCGTTTCTTGACAATTTGCCTTGTTGTGTGGAGCTAGGCAGCAACGTCTGAGGCTTGTGGGACTTCGGATGACCCAAATATATGACGATGGTAATCAGCTTACTCCATATGGGACCTGCTGGTGGTCCTGTTGAACACACAGGACGACTGCTGAATGGCGTCTTCTCTCCCCTATCGTGGTGCGTGTTCAAACAATAGTTATGTTTGTTTTAGTCAACTCGTTCATTAACGAGACTATAGTAGCGTTATTTTACGTCCTAATTTAATACTCCAAATTCCAGAGAAGAGTCTTTGACTGTTCCTAACGCTGGGCTAGATGTTTGAGGAGTTTTAAAGCACATTTAATAAATGTTGAATGGGTTGTGACTAGTATTATGCCAGCAGTTATTTAACATTCACTCCTGCGGTAATTTACTTCGGGGTGGAAGAACACCTTATTTCTCTATAAGTTTAATTAATTTCCAGTCCAAAATAATAATTGCAAATGAAAGCAAATTGTAGAGTGGATTTATTAAGAGTTAAGCCAGGAAATGATCAGTGCGTGGTCTGTGCTGGCTGATGTAATCGCTCACCTTTGGTTCCTGGAAACGTTTGACATTCCCTTACTAGAAATTAATATTGTTAGTAAAATTATTTTCCTGACACAACGTATTTATCTTGCTGTTGTTTGTTGTTGTTTAAGATTCGCTACCTGGAACAAAAAGTTCAAGTATCACGGGCTATGGTGAGCCCGTAGTGGACCTATCTTGCTGTGCCATTTCCGACTCTGGGTGTCGGAAATTTCCGACATAGCGTTTCTGGCAAAGGGAGAATTTAAATTGTTATTTAATTATTATTGTCATTATTAACTATTGGCAAAATTTAAATGATTTAATATACCATAAATAGTTTGCTGATATACTATACAGTTAATAGTTTGCATGTAGCATTTGCCTGTGTTATAAAGCCATCAATTACACAAAATATTAATTTCCGCATAATTTCCATTTGAAAAATTAATTTCTATTAATTTCAGGAAAACCAAATATTTTGTGACGAATATGAAGGGAAGGGAATTATCAGGGGAAAGCGTCAAGCCATTACGACTATATAGCACTGAAAATAGGTCAGGATAAGGATTTTGAAATGGGCCCGGGGGGTGGGGAGGGGGGGGGAGGAATGGTGTCCAGCAACTTGGACGGTCGGGGATTGAACGCCGACCCGCATGAAGCGAGACTGTCGCTATACCCCCCAGCCCAAGTGACTGGACAATCCACTGTTGTGGGTTGAAATCGCACTGAACATGTCCGTGATGAGTAGGAGATAAATCTATAATATTTGATTCTCCCAAAACAAAATCCACAACTTTTTTTTACCATAATTTGAGATTATGATACATATTCGAGTAACATGTAGATCTTGCCGCCTACCTTGAGGTTACCTTGAGGTGCTTCTGGGGCTTAGTGTCCCCGCGGCCCGGTCGTCGACCAGGCCTCCTGGTTGCTGGACTGATCAACCAGGCTGTTAGACGCGGCTGCTCGCAGCCTGACGTATGATTCACAGCCTGGTTGACCAGGTATCCTTTGGAGGTGCTTATCCAGTTCTCTCTTGAACACTGTGAGGGGTCGGCCAGTTATGCCCCTTATGTGTAGTGGAAGTGTGTTGAACAGTCTCGGGCCTCTGATGTTGATAGAGTTCTCTCTCAGAGTACCTGTTGCACCTCTGCTTTTCAACGGGGGTATTCTGCACATCCTGCCATGCCTCCTGGTCTCATGTGATGTTATTTCTGTGTGCAGGTTTGGGACCAGCCCCTCAATTATTTTCCACGTGTAACGTGGCACGTTTCCACGTGCCTAGGAAATGTATGTATACCACGTGGAGCTACCCACAAGAGATATGTATGATATGTCGTGTTATCCACAAAGGTTATGAATGCCTTATTAGTTAGCCGCAAGGGATATGAATACCATATTGAGTAAGCCACATTGGCTATGTTTACCATTCTGAGTAAGCAACAAAGACTATGTATACCATGTTGAGTTACCCACAAGGGTTTGGGGGAACTATAATAGTGAAATAAAAAAATAATATTCACCGCAAGAATGTATTTAATGCAAGGAATGTATTTACAACAACCAATGCATTAATTAAAATTCCTATATTTATTGCAACTATTGAATTTCTGCAATGTATTTATTGAAATGAATGTATATATATAATGCAATTAATTAATATATTAGAATTAACGTACTTAGTGCCTTTAATGTATGCAATGTATTACCAAGAATAAAATGTATATGGTTTGGTGGGGTGGCCATAGATGCACCTACAGGAGCCGTCAGGAGCCCCGGGACTGAACCACGAGGGCGTGGTCATGTCTCCTGGGAAGGAGGCTTTCATACCCATCCAGGCTCACTCCACCTTCACTACGCCCGCCGCCCTCCAGCTGCGTCCAGACCAGAGGAAGTAAGTTGTGATGGAGTGTAAGGAGCGGGGGGGGGGGGGTTATCTGAGCAACCTGTCCTCTTACAGCGAACCTCGCTTGTCGCTCGTGTGTCTTACATGAGGCCACATATCGTCGTACTTGAAAATGGAAGATTAATTGATGAAGATTAAGCCACCCAAAAGGTGGCACGGGCATGAATAGCCTGTAAGTGGTGGCCCTTTTGAGCCATTACCAGTATCAATAGCCGATACTGGAGATCTGTGGAGGTGCGACTGCACCCTGCATGACGGGAGATGTCTCCCGTTAAAATGGAAGCAGCTCAGGATAGTGATGTACTGTCCTGTTTTCTGTTTTGGGTCCTCTGGTAGGTTTGGAGAGGACACTTTAAATTAACCGTTTTCTTTACGTTTTGAAACCTTAGGAGGACGGGCTGATTTGAGGGATGAGTTGTGGACTCGAGGAAATGATAAAAGGGAGATAGGAGGTTGTAGATTGGGGGGTTGTAGCTGCTGGATTAAAGGGATAGAATAGCTTAGGCTATTTTTACCCCCACACCCCCCACACACCCCTGTTGGCGGTGGTAAAACAATGTGTAGAAATTGAAAAATAAAAGTTATGTGAAGGAGTCCTGGGATTAGCCAATCCTCTCGAGCTACCACAACGGACAGAAAATAATGCACTATAACATCCGAACCTACACGGGCTACTCAGGCCCGTCCGCTTAATCTTCATCAACCATCATTCAGAACTTAACCTAACCTATGCTATTCGAGCGACCCACGCATAGAAAACATGACTGTTTTTGGGCCGATGTGATTTGCAGTATGTTGGAGATTTTGAAGATAAAATGAGATGAAGATATGTTGATGGGAGACCGTGTACGGCACTTGTAATATGGTGAGTCGGATGAAGTGGCACCGGCTTAGCACTAAGCCAGAACGGCATCCGCTTATCATTGTGCTTCCTCACTTTCCAGTCCGTTGCTGGTTTGGTGGGCGGCTGCCGGAGCGTGATGCTCCGTGGGACAGCATTACCTCTTGTCATTTTGAAGCCATATTCTCCAGCAGCTGTCTTTACTAATTTTGCTGGTCACATTTTCCTCTTCCTCGTGTTTCATCTTTCCTCTCCACCTCTTCTCCGTTCTGATTGTTCCTTCCAGCCAACTTCGTGCCATTCTTGAACATTCCTTCCGTTTTCATTTTCTGTTATGACGCCGGGTTAGTTAAAAAGGCATTCTCTTTCACCCATAGAACTGTAGTACCTGACGTGGTCAAGCGAGGGGGAACTTTTATGTCAAACACTGCCTTCGTAGCTGAGCCCGATCTCGACAGACTGACGGCTCTTAAGATGACAGTTGCGGGTGTATATCCATGCTGCACCTCCAGGAAGGGGGTGCATCATGGATCTGCCTCAAGACCTCCCATGCATCTGCATCATGGGGGGGTCTTATCAGGTGTCCTATCCTCTAATTATGGCTCCATGGTAGGCTTAATCGTGGATGAAATTGTATTCTTGTTCATCCATCCAGCTTGTTCATCACGACTTCTGACCCTCATTCCACTTCTCAGAATCGTGGGGTGGGCGACCAGGCCCCTGAGTCGGAGTATGATGGAAGGCCGGGCTCTGTTGCCCCCGCTACACTGGGCCCAGACCAAGCTGCTTTTCTAACTCTCCCGACGAACCCCCTCCACTCCTCTCCCACCTCCGTGACAGGGTCGAGCCCCAAGCCCTTTGGTGACCACCTCATCACCTGGCGTGGCTCCATCTCCCGTTGTGACAACTGTGCCTTTTACTCCCCTTCTTACTAGGGATGCTCGGTGCCGTCGCCTCCACACTTGTAAACGTATCATTCCTCCAAGGAATTGTTTGGTTCTTCTAAATAGACTAAGTATTTTGATCATAATCATGTTGATCATACACGTCCTGATGATTTATTACTTTCATATTTTTTTATTTACTTATATATACAAGAGTTTTTGCATTCTTGTAAAGCCATTAGCATGCATAGCATTTAGAGCAGGTCCTTAATCTTAATTTCTCTTGGAATACGATCCACTAAATCATTTAACAACTAGGTACTCATTCACTGTTGGGTGAACAGAGGCAACAGTTAAGGACTGGCATCTAGTCAACCCTTCTGCCGCCAGGATACAAAGTCAGGCTAAATCGCTCGCAAAGCATTGGGCGAGTGTTTTACCACTGTGCCACAGAGACTGAAAGGTGTTCATCCATAAAAACCTTGTTGGTTCAGTGGATACCTTTGTCACTATTAACCCCACCCATACTGGAACGTGAGGAGTTGCAGCCCTTTCTCAGGAGACATCCAACCACTTCGCTATGTTGTGCTGCACTGGTGAGATCTCAGTCAGGATCTCCAAAAATGCCGGGTTAAATGTCGGCTTTGGCACAGTTATTCTCCCGCACCATGTCACTACTGGTGATAAGGACCTCAAAGACTGCCATGATGATATTAAATACATCCTAAAGGCCCAAGGCAATTCTACTCTCCAGACTGATAAGTTCAATCAATCCCCTCGGGGTCGTCGTCGTCGGCCTCTTCGCATAGTAAAAATCACGTTTGACAGTAGGTCCCTTCCGTCTTCGTCATTCTTGCGGGTGCCAGATGCTCCGTTCAGGAGTAAATCCTCTCTCCTCGTCTCTGCAATAGGTGCTGGAGGTTTGGGCATTGTCCCTTCAGGTGCACAAGTGAGGTGTGTCTAGTGCTCTTCTCGCCAACTTCACTACATCAATTGTGGTGACGCCCATCCTGCCTCCTCTCGCACATGTGTTCACTACAAATCTGAGGAAGCCATCCTCAAATTGAAACACTGCGATCATTTATCTTTTCCCGAGACACGCCAGGTTTACCGTCTCGCCGCTTTCTTTGGCATGTCTTATGCCAGAGAATCAACTCTTCTTGATGACCTCCTAGCTCTCTTACACCCACTCGGTTCCACAACCGTTTCCAGGCTTTGAACCCTGACGCCACCAGCACCTTCTCCTTTGCATTCTGGAACTGAAGGTCTTCCTCCTGGTTCCTCATCTGGTGTTTCCCCCCTTCCTTCCCAGTCGTCATTGTCGTCTGTGCCCTCTTTCCCTTCTTGATACAATCATTTCTCTCAGCCCTGCCCTCTGTCTTTTGGCCTTCTGCAACACCTGCCCGTCCAGGTCGTTGTCCATCCTCCTCCCAGCCATCTTCATGTTGATTGCTCCCGTTCTCCCTCTCCTGTTGAAACTTTGGAAGCTGTCAACTAGTACATTGCTGATAATACGTCTGTCTTTCTAAGTAAGAAATGTAGACCTGGCTCCTCCCCTTCTTCCACCCTGGCGTCGGAATATAGCGGCATCGCTATATTCCTCACCTTCTGCCTCCGCCTCTGTCCTTGCATCTCTTCCCATTTCAGTGGTGGGGTCGCCTGTCCCAACTATGGAGTTTCCCTTGGTCCTTGATTCTCTCTCAGATGCTGCCATTACTCAAGTGCACTGCCCTGTTTCTGCCCTTCTACCGCCCCTTCCCCCCTCTTCCCTTGACCGCCCCTTTCCGAGGCCTCCTTCCACTCCAGACTCTGACTGTCAGCTACTGGTCCATCCTACCGCTCTCTTGACTCAATAATCGTCTTTGCTTGATTTACCTCTGTCCCATTCCTCTGATTTCACTGGACCTGATCCTGATCATATCGAGTATACTGTGCGAATCGTTGCCTTTGTTTTCCCTTGTTATCTCTGTTTCTGTTATCTATGTTTTTTGAGAATGTCTATTCTTCAGTGGAATATTCGTTGTTTCTGTGCCAACTTCCATGAACTCTAACTTTTAATCATGCTCGCCGCTTTGTGTCTGTCTCAAGGAGTCGATGCTTAGCGCTCGTCCTATAGTCCCTTCCACGATTATTTCTTTCTCTCCTCCCCTCAAGCTCCTGCTGGGGCCCCCTATCTTCACTGCACTCTTGATCCGTAATGATATTCCCTTTGTCCCCCTTCTTTTCCAGTCACTCATTCCTTCCTCTGCTGCCTGTATCTATGTGAATAAATGGTATACTGTCTGTTTCATTTATCTCCGTGCCTGACAGCTGAGTGGATAGCGCTTCGGATTCGTAGTCTTGATGTTCCGGGTTCGATACCCAGTGGAGGCAGAGACAAATGGGCAAAAAGTTTCTTTCACCCTGATGCCTCTGTTCACCTAGCAGTAAATAGGTACCTGGGAGTTAGACAGCTGCTTCGGGCTGCTTCCTGGGGGTGTGTAACAAAAAGGAGGCCTGGTCGAGGACCTGGCCGCCGGGACGCTGAGCCCCGAAATCATCTCAAGATAAACAAATTCACAAGGGCCGTGACGAGTGTAATGAAGTAAGGGCGAAGAGGTAGAACGGCCTATTGACACAGCTCGAGTGCATGGGGGGAGTTGTGTAAAATCCTGGTTTGTGTCTCGGAGAGGCTGCAGGATCCAAGTAAAATTCAGTAGAATTTCTGGTTGCAATTCTTATACCATGTTGTAGCTCAGTCGATTAAGACAGCGTCTGGGATGCTCTTGGACGTCGGTTCGAATCCTCATCACGGCCCTTGTGGATTTGTTCATTTGAGGCACCGCGCTATTGGGATTTCTGTGTGCATCTCAGGATAACCTCAAGATAATCCCCCCCCCCCCTAAATTTTCCTCTTTCTCTCCCTGATCTTAAACACCTGTTGGATTCCTGATGGAGTTTGTGCTCCTTTTGGGTGATTTTTAAATGTTGTCATGTCCCCTAGGGCAAAGTTCTGGCAAAGACCCGAGGCCGCCTTCCTGAACCATTTGTCCTCTCTTCTTCTTTGTCTGTACTCATACTGGTGAACCCACTCATGTAGATTCCTGTACTCACACCCTTTCCTGTCTTGATTTTTCTCTCTGCTCATCTTCTCTTTATTTAGACTTCACCTGGCGGGTTCTTGATGACCTCCATAACAGTAGCCATCTCACCATCTTTGTCACCTTCACTTTTCACCCTCCCCTCTTCTTCCCTAGGTGGCAGTTTGCCAAGACTGACTGAAA